AGCCTCCTGAGTAGCTGGGATTACAGGCACGCACCACCATGCCCAGCTAATTTTTTGTAGTTTTAGTAGAGACGGGGTTTCACCATATTGACCAGGATGGTCTTGATCTCTTGACCTTGTGATCCACCCGCCTCGGCCTCCCAAAGTGCTGGGATTACAGGCTTGAGCCACCGCGCCCAGCCTTGCACCATTTTTCTTGCCAGACTTAGTTCATTTTCAGCCTGAAGAATCACCTCTTCTAATTGACCACCTTGAAGTTGGTCTTCTAATTTTTGAACATCTGGTTCCGCTTTAACCATAGCCAGCTTCTCATTTATAATCTGTTCTGTATATTTTCTATATGCTGCATTTTTAGGGATATCCTCAAGAACATCAAGAATCTTTGTGTACAGTATTCTTAGCCTCTCGTGTGGAGTATTGCACACAGCCAATCCCACAAGGCCAGTGGTCTTCTTCAGCACACCCGCCATGACAGCACCCTCACTTGCCATTTTTCTACCATCCACATTACATTTATATTTACTTTCAAGTACCTCAAGTGGTGTTAAAGTTTTGTACAAAGTTTACAGTAGAGTAGAGATCTCTTCCTTAAAGATTCCTCCAAGACTACATGAGCTACTCACCAGAGCTGCTCCTAGAATCCTGGTTTCTAGAATCTTAATCTGGGCCTTTTCTTTTGAATAGTATAGGTGGGGTCTTATTCACACAGCCTAAACCTGAATTGGTTCTGGTTCTTAGTGAATAGTTTTTTTTTTTGGAGACAAAGCCTTGCTCTGTTGCCCAGGCTGGAAGTGCAGTGGTGTGACAACTTCTGCTTCCCAGGTTCAAGTGATTCTCGTGCCTCGGTCTCCCAAGTAGCTGGCATTACAGGTGCCCATCACCATGCCTGGCTAACTTTTGTATTTTTAGTAGAGATGGGGTTACCATGTTGGCCTCAAGTGATCCGCCTGCCTCAGCCTCCCAAAGTGCTGGGATTACAGGTGTGAGCTACCGTTTCTGGCCAGCAAATGGTTGTTTCTGAAGTGACTTTAGGGAAAGAATATAAATGTCTATATGGGAGGGAGGGACACTTGTTTCATAGATGGGCCCCTTTCTGTGAGGCAGTTTTCATCAGATTTAGGCTCACAGCTTGCTTCCACCTTGTGATTCAATCAGAATTTGGTTTTAGAAAATTTTCTTGAGAACTTTATTCAGAAGAAAAAAAAAAAAAAAAAAAAAAAAATCCTCCAAATGATTTAAACAGAACTGTATATTCTTCCTCTCTCTCCACGGGTGTATATGTATGTATACATATAGATATTACACTAGCAATTTAGAAAATTTCCTGAGCCTCTGTCTCCTTTCTACTTATATCTTAACTAAAGGTTACAGAGAAATAGCTGGAGCAGTTTAAAAAACCTGTCTCCAATAACATATTAGCAATTGAGGCTGGGAGGCAGTATTCTCTTCCCACTTCCTGAGGCTTTTAAATATAATTATGCTAATTTTTGCCTTTGCCTCCTAATTCAACTACAGTCTTTGAGTTCACCACTCAAAAACTTTCCTTAACCAGAGTCACCTGAAAAGGTAAGTCAGAAGTCTGCAGAATCATCACTTCCAATGACCAAAGCCTGACTGTTTCCCAGCCTTGAAAAGGACCCAGCCTAGCAGTGATGCGCATTATGACTGGGTAGAGGGGACGGAGCCTGATGCTGAACAGTCTGGAAGTAACACAGCAGTATTCAAACCCTGAAGGGTTGGAGACAGAGCAGGGAGGTGGAATGGGGGAGACACACTTGTCTCCCTCTGTGCCACACCTTTTTTGGTAGTCCAATGGGAGGAGAACATGAATTTGGTCCACAGCAAGCCAGGCTGTATGTGTAATAAAGGAAGGACTGCATGGATCCTTTATCATACACTCCTCTCCTCCAGGCACACGTTCTATTGCCAAATCCTGCCAAAGACAGAAATACAAAAAAAGCTTGAAAGTGCTCAATCTGAGAGCAAGTTAAGCTGCAGGAAAGCAGCAGCAGAGAAGTATATTAAGACAGGGTAGAGAAGAGGGAATCAGAGCAAGTGCCCCAGTGTCACCCTCATTACTTTCCTGTTGCTACAGATAGAGAATAGCTACACTCACACAGCAAAGCACATGGTTGAGCAAGCTGAAGCCCAGACTTCAGAGTAAGTAGTCATCTTCAAGGTTATCATCACCAGACATGGAAGCAGCTTCTATTGAAGAGAGATAAGAAGGAGAAAGTTAGACACTGCCCTATTCTAGCAGGCACTGCCAGCGAGCCTCAAAAGAAAAGTGGACCTCTTAGTGCTCAATGACCTGACTAGGAACTAAGCCTTCAATTAACCTCCCTAGTTTGGAAAGACTGAATGAGAAAAGTTAACTTCCAAAGACGCTCTAGGGAGGAAATGCTGCTTGTACCTGATAAGCTGAGGCAGGAAAGGGTATGCGTTATCTCTCCAGGGCTCTTTTTGGTCTCAGTGAGCAAGGTGCTGAGAGAGGCATCTGTTTCTGTGGCCTGAGTGGAGGAAAAGAGGAAAAAAGGAGGAACATGTTGGCTTTTAGGACAAAAGAGGCCACCCTTTCATTCCTCTCATAGGACCTGGTTAAGGCAGTTGCATTTGGCTACCAAGATGGACAAAATGCTCCTTGGGTCAAGTACTGTAGGAGCTCAGAGTCCTTAAGAAAGCTAATACAGTGTCAGGACTAGAAGCCCTTAGTGTCTATGTGCTACATTTGCCTGGAAGAAGTACCCTGTAAACTACAATGGCTCACCATGTCCTTCATGTCTAAGGCAGCTCTGTTTTCTTCCATGTCTTCAGGAAGCTCAATTGCATATCCTTTGCGTACTAATTCTAGCCCAATATCAACTTTCTGAGAAGAAAAATGAAAAGGGAATGATGTTCTCTCAGTAAGCAAGGGCAAATTTGAGAAAACAAGGCAGGACTGACACTTTAAAGACATTCCTTTGGTGAGACGGTAAGAAGGATCTTATAAAGTAAGAGTAATATCAGATAAGGGTTTCTGGGAAAGAAAAAATAAATTAGGCTATAAATACACTGAAGATATAATAGGCAGTTTGTGAATGCCAGTCTTACCTTCCCATTGCTAGTATCATATAAGTAGATCTTTGGCCAAGTTGAGATCCCAGTTTGGACATAGCTAGAGATCTTGGCTACTAGAGGTTTCCAGTCAGCACAATGAGTGAGTCTATCAAACTCATCCAAAGCTTCCTCTTCCCATTGGTCACCTGGCAAAAGATTGTAGGGTTTATTGCTGTTAGGGGTGGGGATTATACCCTGGAAGGAAGTTGGAACTACCTTTTTCTACTCAGGAAGGCACCTGTGTCTTCTCTGGTGGGGTTGGGTCTGCCAGTCAAGTTTCTGGCTGCTGCTAGTGCTGGTGAGGAAAAGGCACCCAAGCCCCCAGAATTCAAAAAGCCTGGGAACGTGAGAATTCCTTCCAATGAACTGTACGAAAATCATTCTATTTGGAGGTAAGCTCAATAGATGGCATGATCAATTTACCTGAGGGGGCGATCCGTGCCAGACTACATTCTATTGCTTGAAATGGAAGGCTTAGGAAGTCACTCCTGAAGTAAAAGAAACTAAAATTAGAATCCTGGGGCCAGAAACTTCTTATTTTGCTGCTTTCAGACAGAACCAACTAACATGAGATGATAACCATCTGCTCTCTATAAACAGGTTCCCTTCCAAATCCCCCTGACAAATGCCAACAGCTCACCACCCTATGGCCAGAACTGAGTCAATAGTTGGGAAGCACTTCACCCTGGCCTCAGCACTGACCTGAGAGCCCTGAGGTCCTTCAGTGGGCAATCTCCATTATCTCCAAAATCAACAAAGTAGAGGTCCAAGTTTCCATTCTCCAAGGTGCCAAGGACCCGGGCTCGATACCAGGAACCATTTGTAGGTAAAGGTGCTGCTACAATGTCTCCTACATACACAGTCAAGTCTTCGGGCTGTACATGGGGATGAGTCAGGAGAGCATAGAGTTACAAAGCGGTAGTGCTCATAAATAGAATAGTAGAAGAAAGAAAGAACAAGTAGTTGCTCCACAGGGAAAGGATGAGATTGTAATGAGAAAGATATGCCTTCCTTTTCATTGAACCCCAGCCCTGTCCCCATGGCAACTCACCACACTATTCTCATAGTGCTGGGTCATCTCATTGACAAGCTTGTCCAACTGCAGGCTGCGGGAGCCAACGATCTGGATCCAGAAGTGGTTGGGGTGTTCAGAAGCAGAGACGTAGACTTCTAGGTACTCATCAGCATGGAAACTGAAGTCAGGACTGGGGACTGAACACAGAGATAACGATGGTGGCCATATCAGACCACCACTCTGGTTGGAATAAAGAGACTACATCGGGGAGTGAGAGGTACAAATACAGCCATTTTTGTATTTTTTTACAAAACAGCTGTTACCATTTTAAATGGCTGGAAGGACAACTGGATGAATCAAACAAGAATATCCTAAAGAAAGGTACTGCTGGGCATGGTGGCTCATTCCTGTAATCCCAGCACTTTGGGAGGCTGAGGCGGGCGGATCATGAGGTCAGAAGTTTGAGATGAGCCTGGCCAACACAGTGAAACCCTGTCTCTACTAAAAATACAAAAATTAGCTGGGCCTGATGGCAGGCACCTGTAATCCCAGCTACTTGAGAGGCTAAGGCAGGAGAATCACTTCAACCCAGGAGGTGGAGGTTGCAGTGAGCCAAGATCACGCCACTGCACTCCAGCCTGGGAGACAGAGCGAGACTCTCTCCAGAAAAAAAAAAAGAAAGATACTAAGCTATCCTTTGTACCTTTCCATGAAACTGAGTAATAACAGTTTACATTCTTTGTCATGTGCAACGTATTCAAATCACCAATTATAAAGAAATAACAGTTTACATTCTTTGTCATGTTCTATGTATTCAAGTCACTAATTATAAAGAAGGTAAATCTTCCATATGCTAGCTGCAGAAAAAAGGTACATGGACAGCAACCTTCACATGGACAGCGACGGATATGGGCCTGTTCCAGATCCTATTCTACCACTGACTCCTTGTGTGACCCTGGACAAGTCTGTGAGCTTCCTGGGGACCCAGGTCCGCCCAGGCCAGCACCTATGTA